CATAGTTTGGAACTCGAGAAACGACATAGAATAGTTTTTATACAAAAAATCTGAGGGAAATCACTATTCCAAAAGCTTGTGTCTAATAAACATTCTCCTGGGGAGCGAATGTAGTTCTTGCTTGACAGTCGAGGCTGCAATCTTTAAAACAATCGCATTCAAAGAAAGTTGTTTTAAATTAATTTATTTAAAATTATTTAATTACATTGATGCGTCACACGTAACTGTATCTATAAGTGGACATTACCTTACCTAATAAGATGCGGAATCTGACGCATCCTGTATATTCTGTGTAACATCGACACAGTATGCTAACGGCTGACTATTTTTGGATATGGTATGTGCTCTCGACGCACTACTGAGAATAAGTTTTTGACTTTATCACAAATGTAATAAGGTTGATGGATTAATAAGAGTTTTGTCTGTATAAGTAGTCCGCCTCATTTATCAATTTTAGATTCGTGTGAACAAAGTGAATTGTGTCGAACTATAAGATATTCAGCTGAACTTAGGGGACTTCCAAATCGCCCGATTTCGAAGCACCCACAGCATTGTGTTTCACCATGTGAGTGAGATTACTAGAGTCTAATTGTCCAAGAGCTCTCCCCCCAATTCCTCCCCATTCGTTAAGTTTCCGAAACCCTAATCCCCAAATTGCCGGCAAAGCTCACGTAACTGTTCTGATGTTGCGGGTGGGCGATGACGATAGCTTACCATCAGGTAGTCCGTCTGCTCGTTTGCCGACCTATTTCGCAAGAGAAGCAAACAGGTTCTATATTAACTATTTAGATTTTCTAAATTCTAAATTTACTTCAACCGACCCTATTTAGTTTTAATTACCTATTCTCATTTTTAGTTCATAATTATAGAAGTTATAAAGTATTTTCTTCCAATGGCCCTTCATAGCAAACGTAATGCAATGCAAATCGTGACTAACAAACCAACAAATACTGTATTATTTTGCAAATGAAAATCCATGAAAATTATTGTTGAATGTTCAGTGTAACACCGGTTACTAGTGCCAAGATACATACATTGGTAAAAGTTAGTTTATTGATAATAAAACGTTTTTGTTTTCTTGCCCAATACTCATTACTCATAGTTTATTAACGACAATTATCACTGCCGCCAGGGAGTGCCCCTATTATTTACCATGTACAGAACAGTCTGCTCGTCAATCTGTCCCATATGTATATCTAAAGACAACAACAACAAAAAATATGCGATAACTTCTGCAGGTGGCATGGTAGAATGGTAAGCAATCAGCGTCGCCCATGGACGCCCGCAACAACAGAGAAGTTACGAAGTGCTTTGCCGACCTTTTGGGGTTTAGAGAATTGGAGATTTAGGGACTGGGGAGGGATTGGGGGAAGGGGAGAATTGGGCCTCCGGTAACCTCACTCACGCGGCGAAACACAACACTGTAGTTGTTTCACGTCGGTATTCTGTGAGGCCGTGCTATCACTCCTATCGAGCCGACCCATTCGTGCCGAAGCATGGCTTAGCAACTGACCCTTTCCCGACCCTTTAAGCTTCCCTGGATCTCCAAGAATATTTTAAGATCAAAAAGGACATGGCCAACTTTTGTATGGGCGTTTGCATAGTTATTGAATTCAATGTACATCAATTATTTTTGGTGTTTACATTCGTGAATATTATTAAATTAAATTGCAATAAATAAAACACATGAAGAACTCGTAATTATAACAAACAAGACGAAAATAGTTTCACTAAACCTTTAGTCAGATTACTGGCCATAAGTGCACGAAATAAGATTTTGCTTTTAAAAACCATGGCGTTTTAATTATTTATTTATTTATTTATAAAATAAAACAAAATAATATGTATAAAGAATAATGATTTATTTATTAAGGAGAACAAATAAAATAAAACTACGTAATAATTCACTTTTATATTTTTATTATAAAGTGTATTTTATTATGTTTGTGTATGGAATGTACGTTTCTGTAATATATATTCTGTATATTTGGGTAATAATATGGTAGTACTTTCCATTTGAAGCAGCCTGCTTAAAACAGGTGGTAAAGGTGGTGGCTCTGGTGGGCTAACCACTTGAATATAAGGGGCTGCTGCATTGTTGTCCGAACCCAATTCCTACCAGTTTCGTGATAAGTCCTGCACTGTCTGTCTATTTGCCCGCATACCGCACACATGACAAACATAGTTGCTTCTTGAGGTCTGAAAATAAACCCCAGTTAGAATAAACATATGTTTTCAAGTTTTATGTTATATACTTGTTACTTTAAAGAAGTCTATGCAAACATGGAAAATACATAAAGATAGATATTATAATCACACATACCTACCATGAGTACTTTTTTATAGATTAATATAGATAAATACAAGTAATAAGGTAAGGTATAAAACAATGAATAAAAAACAAAATGCTTACCACATTAATAGTATTTTGTGATATTAGGCCAGCTAGCAATGGAGAGTCCATACTGACATTATGGTGTCTTATTTTTCGAACCGATTTTCCACAACCAAGGCAAGCCATGTTATGCCCCAGTAGTCTCTCATGTTCACCAGCCTCAGTATTCAATAATAAGAAGCGTGGTTGACAAATGAATGTCCCCAGAGGCAACTAAAAAAAAGATGCACTATTTAAAATCGCATACCATTAAAAAACATAAAAAACAGACTAAGTATACTATTCCGACTTCATACCTGGGTTTGAGCTATGGTTAACCAACGTGAAAGTTTTGTTTGATGGGGTGCAGAAAGCGAGGATATAAGACGCCTCTGCAGCCTTTGTACGCCTATTCCGCAGTTGATGCACCTCATCGTAATCCACAAAACAAATCCAAAACGCAAAACAGTTACTCCAGTATTATTAGCAAGGTTAACAAAAACACGCTGTCAAAAGTGTCAAACACGTTCCGTTTCGTTTAAGTTTTTTTTTTCGGTGAATTGGATAAAAATAAAACATAATATTATTATAATATGACTATATTTTAAAATGCAACTAAAACCAATGAATACAGTTTCGTATGAATAAAATGTTCCTAGTGTAATGCATTTGTCGATCATATCACACGTTTTCTACGAGTGTAGTTTAAGACACGTGGTTTGGAATTGGAACGTCTTTTTATTTATCTTTCTCTATCATCGATCACTAATAAAGAACTAGATACACAATCCCATACAAAAGTTCGCTTCAAAACTGTCGCCAACTGTATTTAGGTACTTATACTTGAAATAAACATGCATTAATGTAAATTAAACCTTAAATGCAACTCAAAGAGTTGTTTTTACAAAGTGATGTACAAAATCTTAATACTTTTTGCGACCGAAGCTCTTGACAAACATAAATCATAAGAAATTGAACCATATTCGCATGTTTTTAAGTCGAATTTACAAAGTGTCAAAAATAAACAATAAAATTTAACGACTTCGGCTCACCGCTAGGGCAAAGAATGATTGAAGTCGAAATGTCTCGTAAGAAATATATTTCTTTCGTATTTTATAATTTATCAAAAAAAGAAAATACGCAAATTAAAACGCATTACTTATAGTATTCTTTTCTATAGGTTTGTTCATTTATTTACCAATGAAACTAATGCATATAGTTATAATTCTTTTTTATTATTTTCGTCCTCCTTAATCCTTTCTATTCGAAGTCAAATAAAAAAGATGTAAAATAATAAAAAGAATATATATCTAAAGTAAGTACTGAAAATGTTGGCGTTATTGTTGTCAATTTTTCATCTCACACGGGTCTTGATGAAAGCTAAAAAAAAAATTTCTTTACTGCAGTTAAAATTAAATCCATTACATCTGCCTATTCCATATTTTAATAAAAACAGTAAAGAAGTATAATATTAAATAAAAACTATTTTTTAATAAAAAAAAACAATAAATAAAATTAGAAACAATAGCGTCTCCACTAAACGGAACAGAATCAATCCACGTAAACCGAACAACTTAAGTGGTCATGCTAGAGAATGATTTTAAGTTTAGTATAAGTGTATTTATAAACTGTGTGCATTATAACCCCGGTTTTTGAATACGATTTCATTTGGAAAAAGTTTTAATGTTAATTTCTTAATAAAATATCAATATTTAAAATAGAATGATGACAATTATATAATGATAATATTATTACTTAACGAAAATATGAAATTCCATCCTTTTTTGCATCTTAGATGTGTGTTTTTTGAAGTTTTTTAACGAGCGCTGAGGCGTGTTTACCGTCGGAGCATTCGAGTGGTACTAAACTAAAACTACACCGCGATGTTGAGTTTGGTGGACTTTCAGTTAGGACATTTTTTTGTCACTGATTGTGTATCTAGTTCTTTATTAGTGATCGATGTTCTCTATGGACTATTATGGCGAAACTTGACAAACGATAAGTTGATTTTGTTGCATTACTTTTACATTTTTTTAATAATAATTGTCAGGTCTGGAGAGGCTGAAAACTACGTAATAATTCATATTTCTATTTGTATTTTACAGTGTATTAATTTTGTTCGTGTACGTGGAATGTACTTTTTTGGCCATGTCCTTTGCCAATTCGGACCAGTAGGTAGACCTAGATTAATATTCATTAATAAAATCGGTCAAGCCGTATCGAAGGAGTATGACAACGAGAATTTTATAAATTAGATTTGCGCCCCTAAGTTTAGCCTTGGGTATATTTAATGTCCCACATGCTTATCATTGATCAAATAAAATACAAATTTACCCTCTACGAATATACTGGTTTTGTGGTTAGGATATCCGTTATTTCACCAAATTCTCACATGATATTATAGAGCGTTTCATATTATCTGAAATTCACATAAAATTAATCTAACCACAAACGTAATCAACCTAAATTCTGCAAAACTACCTACCTAAATTATAAATCATGTATTATTTTTGTGACAAATTTATTACTTATTTCATTTGTAGAACTAGTCATAAAATAACTTTCGTACTTATATATATAAAATTTTAAAAACAAATCATTTATTTTCTCTTTTAATTTGTTCCAGATATTAACCAGAGATGGAGCCACTGCAGGTTGAAATCGTACACTTCTACCCTAGGGAAAATGCGAAGCCACATAATACAACAAAGTAAGAACTAATAATTATATTTTTCAAGAAAAAGCAATCTTATCTAGTTTATTGAAGTATTCCAGGAATAACATGAAACAGAACTAAGAGCAACCCTACATGTGACTTATCATAAAAATTAAAGTATTAGGAAATAAGCAAACTAAAGAGTTTGGTAGTTTGTTTGAACGCGCTTATCTTCAGAACTACTGGTTCGAAATGAATCGAACTTTTGTGTTGGATAGTCCACTTATCGGAGGTTATAAGACATCATGCTACGACCAATAGGAGCCCAGCAATTTGTGAAATTGCGCGGGGAAATCAAGTTTCCATAACATCTGTTTTTTACCATGCCTAGCTTCAACTAGTTTTATATATTTTTTACCACATAAAAGTTGCCTTTACCTATTATCCTGCTTGTAATTTTTTTTTTTATGGTGATATGTCGGCAAGACAGCACACGGATTACCTGATGGTAAGCAATCGCCGCCGCCCATGGACACCCCGCAACACCAAAGTAGTCACGAGTGCGTTGGGGAAAAGAGTTGCGGATATATAAGGATTGGGAAGGGATAGGGAGGGGGAAGGATTGGGCTTCCAGTAACCTCAATCACACGTTTCATGTTGTTATAGTAATACTTTGTCGCCAATAAAACTAATGTTATATTTCAGATATGAAGTGGTGAACGAAGAGAATCCGACAGTCACCATCGTGCGCCGTGGCCAGCCGTTCAGTGGAGTCGTGAGGTTTACCAGACCTTACGATGAGGCCAACGATATCATCCAGCTAGTGTTTTCTATTGGCAAGTAATGATTATAAGAAGAAACCTTTTCAAGCAGAAAGGATTTACTACTTGCAAGAACTACGTTTGGTTTGGCTTTGGATACTGTTTTACCTACCTCTCGACGCGTATTCTAATAAAGAGCCATCTAGTATTAACTCTTTGAAATTCTAATGCACGATTTACAGACAAAAATGCAAGTAGGTCAACTGGGCTGCCATAGTCGCCTCAAACGTTCGAATGCTAAAAATTTTTGGACGACTATATTTGCCTTGACGTTTAAGCGTTCTACTTTACTGGTCGCTATCAGCATCTACAAAAGGGAACCTTGTCTTCTAGCTTTGCAGCCTCCAATGATCATTAAGAAATGTTTATAACAATTTTATACTTCTTTTTTTTTGAGAGGTGATCATCATAATGTGTCTTCTCGAGCCCTGTTTGGGACGAGAGAGAGTGTTAGACTGTTAGTCAATACTAACAACCACGCTTTTTCTCCTCCTGCTCCTTGCCGGGGACGAGGTGCATTATTGCCCTTTCATTCCGCAAACCCGGCTGATTCTATATCTAAGTTGTGTTTCGACTGAAACTCAAAATACTTGCTGAAGAACATGAAGACAGTGAAGTAAAAAAGTTTCATATAATTTTTTTGTCTGCAGGTGACCAGCCTTCGATGGACACTGTCGGAAAGATGTTCATACGACGTGATGCTGTACCGGATATACATGCATGGACAGCCACTCTCTTAGACGTACAAGATGGAAACACTGTCTCTTTCAAGGTAAGAGCCATTTTGAGAAGAACCTATTGAGAAATGTTCCGCCAGTTTCAAATTACACCAGGGCTTACATACTTAAGTCACATCTGGGAGTTTTGTGCAACATATACGATATGTTTTATTTTAAAAATGATTTGTGTACAAAGCTGACTATGTAGCTTTAACCTTTAATGTACCGAATAGGCAATGTTCCGTTTTGGATAACATTTGTGTTTTATCGATTCCGATTATATTAGTATTTTTATAGCAGACAAGCAGACAAGAACTGTATGCGACGACGTACGAGTGTATCTACCGATCGAGTATCTACGAGAAATTGAATTGGCAAAGAACGCCATTCGATTAGAAACAATGTTGTTGAAGTAACATTCTACATAATACTGCGATAAACGTTACTTTGGTCTTCGAAGTCAGTGAAATTGTAGTTTTAAATAAAAATTAAAAAAAAATTACATCCACACAAAAGCAATACAAAAGTTTTTAGTAAGTGCGACGCATCAAAAACTCGTGTTAAATTCATGAATATAAATACTTAGATGTAAACAACAGACTAGGAATTGTGTTACTGTCCAGCTGCATAATTTAAATATAGAATTAAATAATTCATTGGCCATTACAGAACAAGTTTTCGTAAATTTGCTATGCTAATTCTATCACGTACCTACTAAATAAATTGCATTTGCAGCAAAAAAGGATAATTTGCATCTAGCGTTTCCTAGTATATCACAATTTATATGTATAGAATATATACAAGTTTATTATTAAGATAAGTCGGCAAATAAGCAAGCAGATCGCCTGATAATAAGCAATCGGCATTGTTCGATCTTTTGGGGATTAGCGATTTGAGGATTTTATCATTTGGGGATCTTAGGGCTATGTTCGGGGTGTCTTTGCGCGACAAAATCCATAATGTGAAAATTCGTCAAAGAACGAAAGTTACCGATAGAGCTCGCAAAATCTGCAGGCTAAAATGGCAATAGACAGGCCATGTCGCTCGAAACACGGACGGTCGATGGTCCCTAAAAGTATTCGGGTGGCCACCAAAGACCGGAAAACGTAGCGTAGGCAGGCCTCTAGATAGCTGGACCGCTGACATCGTCAGATTTGCGAGGAGCCAATGATTTATAAAAAAAATGGATATCTTTAATTATACTTTTAGGATCAGAAGCCGGATTTTATTAAAAAAAAAAAACAAACTAGCCACACAAAATACAACTCATTTATTCTTATATCTAAACAATTTTATTTAAATAACCAAAATCACAAAAATTAACAAATTGAATCGTAATTGACAAACAGCCACTAATCAAACATAATAATCAGTAAATGCACAAAATAATCACGAAAAGAAATAACTCACAGCAAATAGCGCCGACACCTCACGACCGTCCACGTCACGCACCGTCCTGTGCGAAAGCCAACCGACAAATGAATTGTCTGGTGAGCTTACCCCACTTAAATAGGTTTGTGAGATGACGTCACTAAATGCGGTAAACAACCCTTAATTATCCTAATAATACAATATTAAAATACGAACGTTTACTGCTTAACTCGACGGTGGCGCCTCTGACGGTTTTAAAATAAAAATAAAACGAGACTTAAATGGTAACGAGTCGTATTAATAAAGTACTTATACTCTACAAAAGCCTAACCGCATCCTAATTTGTTTCAATAACAACTTTAAGTACATGTAATAGAATATAATTTGATTTTGAACAATGGACAATCGATTGATTTAAGTATTTTTAAAGTCGATTTGGTACATATACGTAGGTAGGTACTTACATTGACCAATAAACCAAGGTGATTCGTAATGTTAAATAATAATGTTTTATTTTTTTTCCGGCGTGAAACAACTACAGCGTTTTGTTTGTGTAAATGAGGTTACCGGAGGCTCAATCCTTCCCCGTTCCCAATCAAGAAAACTTCAAAACCTTAATCCCCAAAAGGTCGGCAACTCGTAACTCCTTTGTTGTTGCGGGTGTCTATTGGCGCTGTTTGCTTACCATCAAGTAATCCGTCTGCTCGTTTGTGTCACAGAAATATTAATAATGTAAATTATGAAGCTTTCTGTGAATACTATTTAGCTTAAGAATACGGACAAAGCTATTGTCAGAAACTAGTTACATGTAGGTACTTAAAGTTAAAATACATAACTTCTAGATAAATTAATGACGAATATAAAATATCAAGTTTCACCAGTTTAACAACTTATTTAAATATTTTAATGCTACAATCATGATCATAATTCATAGCAATAATGTTAATAATTACTGAAGTATTAATAATTACAACTTAATACTTACATCGCTACACAGAACATGGCATAAAATAAATAGGTATACTTAGTCTTAGCTAAGATTCATTTGATAAGCATGCAAATAAGAAGTTTGGCACGAACGGGCCGGCTCGATGGCCTCACAGAATGCAAAACTTACACGGCGAGCCATAACGCTGTGGTTATTTCACGCCGCTTTTCTGTGAGGCCACATCACTACGGTCGAGCCGAACTATTCGTGCCGAAGCATGGTTCTCTCACTGTTTTAGATTTAGAGATGGGGGATGAATGGCTGCACGGTTGGTGCGGTGGCTGGGCAACTGGCTGCCGTGCAACGTGTCGCGGGTTCGATTCCCGCACGGAACAACTCTTTGTGTAATCCAAAAATTGTTGTTCCGGGTCTGGGTGTCACGTGAATGTGAAATTGTATGTTTGTAACCGCACCCACGACACAGGAGAAAATCATCATGTGGGGCAACGTTTTTTTAAAAAAAAACAAAAATGGGGGAGGGAAAATATTGGGCCTCCAGTAACCTCACTCACACGTAGAAGCACAACGCTGTAATTAACTCGACTACTGCACGGTTGGTGCGGTGGCTGGGCAACTGGCTGCCGTGCAACGTGTCGCGGATTCGTGATCCACAAATTGTTGTTTCGGGTCTGGGTGGGTTGTACACGTGAAATTTAATGTTTATAAACGCAACCACGACACAGGAGTAAATCCCAGTGTGCGGCAAGGTTTTATATAAAAAAAAAACTCACGGTAATCTGTGAAGGCATGGTATCACTCAGGACGAGCCGACCCATGCAAATTACTTTTATTTTTTTGTTATTAAATGTTTTACATTTTTCTTCTTCAGCTTATAAAAAGCCAAACATTATAGTGTTATTTTAGCAGTTAGGAACTAAGTAAACATTTATTTCAAGGCAAAAATATTTAATGTTATGCAAACACCATACCTGTCTTCGTTTCCAGTGGTAAAACAACCTTTACTTATAAGCCACAAATCATTATTCATAAATTTATTACTTTACCCTTGTATGCATTTATATGTATACCTTTTATTAGTATATAAGTAATAATTTTATCCTTTGATTGTAGCCATTTGATAATACATAAGTAAGCACTGCATCAATGAATAAGTAATTATAAGCTTCAGTTTTAATTAAAACGTAGCATGAATTCATCTTAAGTGTGGGAGAGCCATGCTTCGGCACGAATGGGTCGGCTCGACCGGAGTGATACCACGGCCTCACAGAAAACCGGCTTGAAGCAACCACAGCGTTGTGTTTCGCCGTGTGAGTGAGGTTACCGGAGGCCCAATCCTTCCCCTCCCCGACCCTTCTCAAATCCCAAAATCTCCAAATCCCTAATCCCTAAAAGGTTGGCAACGCACTCGTAACGCCTCCGTTGCGGGTGTCCATTGGCGGCGCTGATTGCTTACCATCACGTAATGCGTCAGCTCGTTTGCCGATAAAAAAAAATTTCAATAAAGGAGAAAATAATAGAATGCTTTGTGGTGATGGAGTAGAACAGATTTGTCGTCTCACCAGGAACCTGGAGGTGGCTCAGTTATGTGTAAGAAAAACAATGGAGTGGGTTTTGGTCACTAAGAGTCTGACACCCAAAAAGCTGGCAACGCGCTCGTAACTCCTTTGGTGTTGCGGGTATTCGCTCTGCACGTTGGCCGTCCTATCCCATAAAAAGCCTCTCTTTGAGGCTTTTTGTGTGGACAACCAATGATATTATAAGTAAAAAGGTGTAGATAGATTACAAGCGCTCAGCAAGTGATACATTGAAATGTGGCTAACTAGCCACACTTTTTCATATTGTCTCTTTTTCTCTCGCGGTTATTGAATAATGCCATCCCACTTTAACGTGTATCATACGATTTATTAAGTTGTGAATAAGTGTGCCGTTTTTGAAAATCGAATGTTATTTGTGTAACCTATCTATACCATTTTACTTATAATATCATTGGGGAAAACTATAACTATTCAAAGTGCTGTCACGTGCTTCTGGTATTAAAAAATCTGTGTTTCCACTAGGTATCAGCTCCCGTCACCGCACCAGTTGGTGCCTGGGTGCTCCGTGTGGTCACATGGCAGAGGGATTCCGGAGAACGCACAGTCTACGATTTTGATCAAGACATCTACATCCTCTTTAACCCATGGATTCCTGGTCAGTTAATTTTCAAATGTTACAACTGCATTCGCTGTATCATCTCGTATGAAAATACTCTGCTCAGTTCAGACAAACTATTAAGATCCGTAAAATACTAAACTAAACTAATTTGGCCTCCAAATGAAAAAAAAAATAGTCTCTTTTGTAAATAAAAAAAGTTCGCATTAAGATGAGACTTATACTTATATATCTATCTCGGTTGAAACTTCGTAAGGACCAGCTGAGTAATGTAACTATACTGTACTGGGCATTATCATCAACAGCAAATATTTCTTACTTGACTGCTATAATTTTCAAAAAGAGAATATGATCCTTTTTATTTAAGGTCGGAAACGCATTTGTGACTCCTTTAGTGCTACCGTTGATCATGGGGCCGCCCATAAATCGATTACCTTCGGGTAAACGTCACTACATATATACTTTTGAAGAATAGCATGCTAGATCTCACCTTTCTAATTTCTCTTCTAGATGACCAGACCTACATGGAAGACAATACTCTTCTACAGGAATACGTATTAAATGATGTGGGTAAAGTTTGGGTTGGTCCCGTGAAGACCACTAGAGGAAAACCCTGGCTCTTTGGACAGTTTGATGCGGTTGTCTTAGATGCCTGCATGTTCATGCTGGATCGGGCTGAATTGCCTTTCAAGCAGTAAGTAGATGTTTTTATTTCTATATTTAAAAATAGTATTAACGAATTTTGGGTGTACGAATAAAAGATACAATGTTCTTGTAGTGTTAATAAAACGCTGAAGAAAAACCAAAAAATAAAAATATATAGTCACCGCAAATTTGGATATCAAAGAACATTTTTATGCAGAGCAAATGTATTTAGGCAATAAACTACACCTCTGCCCATTGAGCCAACAAAGTAATAATATATACCAGAGAAATATGAAAACCAGCTCATTTATAATTATAATTATAATTGATTCTGAAAATAGAATTTCATGGAAATTCAGACTACCTATTGAACTGATTTATTGAATTGGCAAATTTTCAATTGTGGCCAAGATTAATTGTCTACCTACGATAAATTTAAATCTATATAAATGCAATTAGGTAGTCGTTAAATTGGTGGTTACCATTAAGAAAAAATAGTGTCTTCAATATATAATTCTGACAATAGCACAGTCAATATGTTTTTGACATTCAAATGTGAATAAATTGTCTAATTGAAATAAATAATTCGACTTTGACAATGAATTTCAATTCATTATTTTTTCTATTTTATTAAACAAAATCGTGAACCCTTATGGTACCGCGGTCACAGCTTCAAGCAGGAGCAGGAACGGGGGAGTTTTTAGTCATTAAGAGGCTGACACTTCCTCCCGCCCCACACCGGGCAGGAGAAGTCATTTGATGATTTTACCTCCACAAAAAGTGAAAAGTTTAAGTATAGGCGGAATCTGATCTTCTTCACCTTCGTTGTGAAGTTTTTGCATATAACTTCAAGGAATAAGAAGCATGATGTAATACAGTAATATATTAATAACTAATTTTCTTAAAACACATTCTGTATTTCTGAAGGCTATTGTGATAGCATCATCAAACGTGACTGGATCGCCGCTAGCATACGCACCATGCATATGGAAATGCATGATGTCAATTTAGATATCACATTACGAAATAAATAAACCTAAGAACCTTCTTATGTTGCCTATTTTTCCAATGGTTTTCCTTTCAAATATTATAAGTGGCAACAACTTATTTATTGTTATAAATCAAATTGCAACACTTACTTGTACTCACAGACATTAAATTATTACTTAAACTTTTCTTTACTATTGATTTTCTTTCGAAAACAATTGCTGAAGACTGGACTAAGTGACCAATAAATGATTCTGAATACGGCTGTTAATGTTTTATGGCTTTCTCACGTATGTTTGACTAGGTAATTCTAATTTGAGTAATTCTTTCCAGCCGAGGGGATCCAGTGAAGATGACCCGTGCCATCTCCCGTATTGTGAACTCCAACGATGATGGTGGTGTACTAGTGGGTCGCTGGGATGGAATGTACGATGATGGAACTGCTCCATCCGAGTGGACTGGCTCCGTGGACATCCTGGCGCAGTTCTTGGAGACACAAGAACCTGTGTCTTATGGACAGTGCTGGGTTTTCGCTGGTGTCGTCACTACTGGTGAGTGCGATTAGCTTACAAATTTAGTTGAAAAAAAAATTAACCTTTTAAAAAGTAAGTCTAGTCAGAACGGCTAGGACAATTGCCTGTGTCAAGAGTACCTGATCTTTCGCCCTTTAAAAGGATGGCAGGTCACTTTTTTTAAGGGGTAAATCGCCAAAGGACTTCTCACTCAAGAGATGGGGCGAGTGGGAGTGTCATACTCTCACTAACTAAAAAAAACCTCTTTCATTCTCCTGCTCTAGGCCGAGATTGCGGTATATTATTGCGCTTGATTCGCAACCCTGGCTAAACATCAGCTCAAAGTTGTTGCTTATCTGGTGTCGCATTGCAGTTGCCTAGTGGCCGGCACTAATCTTTACCCATCACGTCATGTAGGTACCGCTTGCTCTTTTGCCCGTACCTGTGAAATAAATATCATGGTAGCATTTAGAAATGACACTGTTGATTTCTTGCTATTTGGTCGAATATCCAATAAATTTTAAAAAGTGATACGAAACATAGAAAAGTCGTTCACAAAAAAAGACAGACTTTTTAAATTTTTATAAATAATCCATCATCATCTGTACTTCAATAACGAATAAATCTCGCTCTCGTCTAAATTGAGTAAAGTAAGTAATCGAAAATAACCGAATAAATAGAGTATATTTTTTTAATTATTATTTAATTACTCATTCAGATAGGAAGGTTATCTTGCTTTCAATAACTTGATAATAAGGTTAAAAGTAAAATTAAATAAATAAAAATAAGTTTATTGACAGAAGTATGTTGTACCATTAAGTTGTCCAAAAAGTAATCCGAAGATACTTATGTCGGGATAGACCTCGCTCTTCGTCGTTATACAACAACGTGTGTGTGTGTGTTTGTGTGTGTGTGTTTGTGTGTGTGTGTGTGTGTGTGTGTGTGTGTGTGTGTGTGTGTGTGTGTGTGTGTGTGTGTGTGTGGGTGTGTGTGTGTGTGTGTGTGTGTGTACATCTAACTCTTTAGCTTCCTTGAATACTAATTACGAATTTCTTAAGGGATTTTTTTCATTTAAGCTTTCCAAAAAAACCTTTCACATAAAGAAGTTAGCTCAACAATTTATTGCTTATAGAGTAACTACCTACTTACAGAGTATCTCGAGTTTCATTAAAAGCTTCTTGCAGATAAAACATGTCAAAATCTCAATTTTCATCTGCAAGCTCCTGACAGGAACCGGAGGATCCTCCTTCTCCCATCTTAGGCAACTTTCATCTTCGTTCCCTAAACAACCACAACAAGGGCTTTAGTCGACATATTTCTTGAAGTATGTACCTATTCTAATATAAAATCATCCTTTATATTCCAGTATGCCGTGCCCTCGGGATTCCATCGCGTGTTGTCTCCAACCTGGTGTCAGCTCACGATGCCAACAGCACCCTGACTGTGGACAAATACTTTTCGGAAACTATGGAGGAGTTGGGATATGACCCGAGCAATGCTGAACCAGAACAGACAGATTCCATCTGGAACTACCATGTCTGGAACGATGTTTGGATGTCCAGACCTGATCTTCCGGCTGGTGAGTGAAGCACAATAATACAAACAGTATTTAAATTTCTTAGGAAGGTACCTGATGGAAACCGGTCGGTACCGCAAATCTCAACTATATATTTTTTTTATAATTTAATGCACACATGATAACGACGGACTATGGAGTTTTTTGCTCGTTCTTCTCCATTCGAATCTGAAATTTGAAACGAGCACATAGCTTCAATGATGAACAGACTGACAAACTACAACTAAAAGTACCTTTATATGGTTTAGTTGGAATAAATGATTTTGACTTTGATTTTAAAGGTAAACAAGGCGGACTTAATGCCATATTATAGCTTTCTGCCAGTAGACCTTAGGGTTTAGTAGGAAATCTGCCAAATAAGGCTTATGTAGAAATAGAGGTAGTGTTTAAATTAAAACATATAAAACAAATATGTTTTATACCTACCATATTTGAGACGAGGATCAAACGGGAACATCACAAAATTAAATTTATTTCCTCTCCAGGTTACGGAGGCTGGCAAGCTATCGATGCTACTCCTCAGGAGACCTCACGAGGAATGTACCAGTGCGGTCCAGCTCCACTAGAAGCCATCAAGCAAGGAGCCATAGGAATGAACTACGATGTGGAGTTCATGCTGGCTTCAGTCAACGCTGACCTGATGAAGTGGAGGATTGATCCTAACTTGGAAACTGGTTTCGCAATGGTGGGCAGCAATACTTATCAGTAAGTTCTTTCATTGTTATTTATCGCAGATTTGGAATTATTTGTTTATGTCTTTAAAATTGTTAGCAAGCTGTCTAACGGAATCGTCGTGGTGGTCTGTAGGTTTAGGTATCCACTTCGCGCAACTACCTGAGGGTTCAAGTACCAATGTGACGTTTTCCGAGTTATGTGTACTTTCTATGATTATTTAGACACCACTGACGTATGGTTAAGGAAAACATCGTGAGGAAACCCGAATTTAAAATAAGTTTGAAATGCCGCCTTGAGCAAGCGTGGTGATTACCTAATGCATGAACCTTCTCCATTTGAGAAGAGGTTGCTCAGCAGTGGATACTTAAAAAAAGATTATTAACTAGTTGTGTTATGGACCGAGCCTATTACCATGAATCTTGCACAATATCTAGACTTCACGTCACTATGGAACAGACTACCTATAAATTGTTTCTCTAAAAATGATTACCAAACCTTCCTTTCTCTACAGCATTGGCCGCATGATCCTCACGAAGAAACCATACGTGTTTGACCCCAACGGTGATGAGGACCGGGAGGATATCATTGACCAGTACAAGTTCAGGGAAGGAACGGCATCCGAGCGACTTGCCCTCATGAACGGAGTTCGGTTCTCTGAAAGAGCGAAAAGGTAAAAAAAGCTCCTCTATTAACATCCAAAGAAAACTTTTCGGCTATTTCCTCATGGTGGGAAATTTATACAACTTGGTTATTTTCGTGTTTTTTTTTTTAAAAACGTAATTGATTTAAGTGGGTACCTTCGATGTTAATGTATAAATAATTGCTGTAGTTGGCAATGGTCCTCTTTCTACATCAGTTCCAAAAAGAAAAATACTTCAAATATGCACCAACTTGCAAATCAGAAATAGACGTATAATCATACGTAGGTCATTTCAATAATCAATGGTTTTGATTACAGATATTACTCGGTAGCTAGCAGTATGAAAAATGACATCATATTCAAGTTGTGCGACATGGACACAGTACCTATTGGCCAAGATTTCAAGGTCATTGTGGAAATTGAGAATACTTCTGATGAGGTAAGAATATCAACATTTCGATTCTAAGAAAATCGAATAAACGCATCATAGAGTCAGGTCATGGTCTTCTCTGAATAAATAAAAAACCAAGTGGTCGGCAACATCGCAGCTGCATTCAGTTTAAACAAAAATGGGTGGTATGGCCAACGTTCATGTTTTTTATGAAATAGGTGGGCAAAAAAAAACAGGCGGATTACCTGACGGTAAGCAATCGGCGCCGCCCATGGATAAGGAGTATGACGCAACAGCAAAGGAGTTATGAGTGAGTTGCCGGACTTTTTGGAATAGATAAGGGTTTCGGATATTTACGGGAGGGTGGGGGAAGCAGGAGGGATGAGGACTACGATGACGTCACTCACACGGCGAAACACCACATTGAGGTTGTTACACGCCGGTTTTCTGTAAGCCGTGGTATCACTCCGGTCAGGCCGAGCCATTCGTGCCGAAGTTTCGCTCTCCCACACTTGACGTGGCCAAACGTATCCATTTATTGTTAGTCTTTTAGAAAAGCCTTTTTTTTCTTCTTCTTCTTAGTTCCACAACTCTGACTGTGATTAAACGTTGCTACAACGATCACTTTTTCACTTTACAGGGCCGTAATATAAAGGCGTCTCTGACAGCAAACAGCGTGTACTACAACGGAGTGAGGGCAGGAGTCATTAAGAAGGCTGAAGGTCATATGTTTATTAATGCTGGCAAAAGTAAGTGGTTTAATTAAATTACAAATTTTTGTTGCTATTTAAAAATATAACGGTGATGATCCCCACTTGGATTTTGTTCAGTGTCGCAGGTACATTTACAAACATACAATTTTACATACACATCACACCCAGACCCGGAATAACGATTCTGGATCACTCAAAGAGTAGTTCCGTGCAGGAATCGGACCTAACCAACGACACGTTGCGCGTTGGCAGCCAACTTTTTACAACCACTGCAACGGTGCGGTGCTGTCCTGCCTGTCAAATTTGTCTCTAAGCGAATGTTTCATGACCTTTAGGCAAGTTCCCGGTATACAATATACATATGTGGCATTATTCATTACTCGTGTTTATAATTCTATGTTACTATGTCTGAAATATGCTATAAATGAAACAATCCAATATTTCTCTTCGATAGCTTGTAGATGGAGACATATGTGGCATACAGTTTATACACATTCCGTTATATGTTCAAATTGATTTTGTACAAAGGCATTTAAGACGTAGTGAAACAGAGCTTGCTGGCAGCACAAACGAATTTTGAGGTCGCTAGAAATTTGAGACTGAATTTGTGTATTCAGAAAACCTTCAAAAATTAATATTAGCAATATTTCTTATTATGTCTTAATAGTTCTAACATTTGTTTTTTTTTTGCGCAGAGGACCAGATCATGCTTTCTGTGAAATCGGACGATTATCTGCCAAAGTTAGTGGAGTATGAGAACATGAAGATCTCTGCTATGGCTATCGTGATGGAGACCAAGCAATCCTGGGCAGAGGAAGACGACTTCCAGATTATCAAGCCTAACATTAATATTAAGGTGAGTTGGAGTTCAAATGACTACTCTAAAAATGTGTCCTTATTCTGAAAAATAGGGATTCTAGTTCAAAGGATATTTGGATTTTCCTTCATTAACAAGTAGGTGACAAAGTTGGGACTGCAGACAATTTTTAGAATTTTTAATATTTAGGTGTCATTGTGATATTTTTTTCCTTTAAATAATTGTTGATATGTAATGCTTCAAATCCGTCCGGTAGCTTTAGTTCATTAAGTTCATACATGATAGTCGCGAAACAAAGTGATACTTTTGAATTTTTAACCAGTTATAATTTTACCTTCCAGTTCAACGAAGATCTAATCCTCAACACGCCCGCGACAGCAGTCCTGTCGTTCACGAACCCTCTCGACCGCGGCCTCACTGGATGTGAGTTCAGACTGTCTTCATCAGGCATTGAAGGCCGTACCCTGAAGCTACAGGCTTCTGACGCTGCACCCAAGGAACCAATCAGCGTGGAAATTCCTATTCTGCCTAAAGTAAGTTGTTTTGAATTAAATATTAGTTTTTTTATGTCTATCGTTGACGTAGACATAAGCGTAGTGATTCATTCTCAAACCTTCAGTTTGGCACTTAGGCTTTGCCCCTCATTAGAATTTTCATCAAATAATCTCGTGGGTGCCTTTACAAACATACAATTTCACGTACACACAACGCCCAGACCCGGAAAAACAATTTGTGGATCACACAAAGAGTTATGACCAGTTTGTGAATAGAAACCGCGATACGTTGCTCGGCAGCCAGTTGCCCAGCCACTGCGCCAACTGTGTAGTGTCAAATATATGATAATATCATGATGAATGATGATGAAAAAATACTCACTTTCTTTTCTTTACACAGAAACTTGGCAGCATCAACTTTGTAGCGAGTTTCAAATCAGCAGAGCTAAAGGACATCAATGGAGCGGCAACCGCTGAAGTATACGAAGGATAAAACACCTTATTAATTAGTTATTAAGAAATATTTTACGTTACAACCATTATTTTTGTACTATTCTATCATTTTACGAGTATATTTTAGTCATTTTTATTAGTTATTTTAATCTTAAAAAATACGTAAATAATTTTATAATTTTAAATCAATTTCTCGAATTTTATTTTTCGTTGTTTTTTTTAGTTTTTGTGAGTCGTATGTGCCAATGTATAGTTTTAAGTTTATTATCGTTAGAAAAACTATATTATGACGGCAGCGCCATGGATTTTTAATATAAGTATAATAAATAAATAAGAATAATCAATAAATGGTGTCAAAAGCCATATTTTTTATATAGTTATTCAACATGTGCCATATTCGTATGGCTAGCATTTGATAATTTTATAGTTTTGTATTAAAAGTTTCAAAATTATAAGTTTGTAATTTTAAATTAAATAGATATTATATAGGTGGGACAAAGCCCCGAAAAATGCGTAATATATTATGTTAGTTGATAATAATTTTAAGTTACAAAAAGCAATAAAAAGTTTTATAATTTCGTGTCCTCTTTTAATGATATTTAAAAATCATTTTGGCATTTCATTTCACGTCAACCTACAGCAGGATATTCTCTTGTGTCTCAGAGTCAAAACCACAATTTGTAGATCAAACAAAGAGTTATACTGAGTGGGATTCAGACCCGCGGGTAAGTTGCGGCTCTGAATCCTGCACTGCAGCCCGTTGCCTAGCCACTGCGCCAACCTGCACGGTTAACCAAAAGTTGTCAATAAGTACCTATATTTTATTTAATACATTACCAACTATATTTCATAAGAATAAAACTAAAAATCTTTGCACATTTACATGAACGATTACAACAAAGTAGGTATCTAATAAAAAAACGTTATTGAAATAAAAAGCTTTACATTTTTAAAACAAAATTTTATTCAATTCCATTCAGCTCCGCCATTTTCTCTTACAAACACAAGTTTGACAATTTGTTCGAAACTATTTCCTTATAATTTGAAACAAACTTAATAGGACACAGCGTAGGCAAAATTCTCAATTGATAAAAAAACAATATCCCTATAGCTTTTTCAGGCTGGCGACATGCACATGTATTCATATTTACGTAGACACGATAATACATACGATCAAATTAAATAGATAGTATAACTGTGGAATATAATTGTTGTTATTTTACTAGATAGTAGAAACATCATTTTGAGATAAGTACCTATTAAATTCATAACCTGATTGGTAAAAATATTCATTCGAGTTTTCTCTTTCTGGGCTCAGAATTCAAGAGTAAATTTACAAATATTTAAAATTTATTATTATTTTAAATAACAATATTTTTACAAATATTGTTATTTAAAATAATTAATCCATTAATTTGAAATAATCACAAAACACACAGTAACCGCTTATCGTAATAATAAAAAATATCATATTTAAACCGCAAAAATTGTTCATTTCGAATTAAATTATAAAAAAGTTTGCCCCGCTGTGTCTCTCAGAACGATCAAATTAGATGCACCCAAAACCGTAGGATATGAAACCTTAACCTATTTGGTAAAACTAATTGGAAAACACAACATTGCCATACGCAAAAAACAATATATTTTTATCACATTGCAAACCGGTTTAGCGATTCCCCTATGATGTAAGTCTGACAAAAAACAAAACATTTTAAAGTTTTACTTATTTCATTTATTAAATTAAAAACCTCAAAAAAGAGGTAAGAATTCCATTTTTTTTGGTTAGTAGGTACCAGACATTTCTTTACCTACATTTTCTATAAGCACTGGCACATTGGAATAAATGCGTCTGACCTCAAATGGTCATATTGCCTACCCTAATTCAGTTACATGGACCAATTACATCAGAGGATAGTTAACTAGAGATGTGGACTCTCTGTTCTCTCAATCACATGAACCCGGTACCATCGGAAGGAGATCTAGCATAGGACCTATAGATACACGGGCCCCGAAATAATTGATCATTAGTTTGCAGCCCACAAAGTACCCAAAAAGTTTGAAGTCCAATGATCATTCCACTAGATTTTCTGGCAATAACTAATGCTGGCCTAATGCTTCGAAGAATCCTATTTCTTTCCTTTTCGTTTTCGACATTTATCATCATAAGAAAATCGCCAACTTGGTGTCGAAATTCCTAAAAAAATGTTAGTTACTTTAACATAACTTTAGCTTGATTGGTTAGAAGAAATTTACAGAAACCAATGATAAAATTGAGATCACACAAAATGACTGATATGGTCATTAGATAGAGGTTTATCGGAATTGAGTTTACCGCTAGGATCGCTAGTGTAGCGTAAGGTTTTGACAAATAAACTATTTGGTAATGCGCAGCCATTAAAAGCGCGGTAAAAGATCTCACGAAGCGCAATCTGGCGATAATAAAAATGATAGCCCTCATAATTTTTAATTCATAGATTTTTAAAAGCCTGTAATTTTCTCTTCTATATTTTAAGGAATTTAAAGACACCAAGTAAAATGAAATAGAAGTGTATTGTAGCACGAAATATTACATAAGGAACATGTTTGAAGGACGGTCAACCAAACCACAGTATAAAATGAATAAAGACATCTATATTCTATTCTAAAACAAACACAAATTTAACAAAATGTTGACGAATTGTATTTAAACGCTAACCATACAAATGGTAACAGATACACGGTAAATAAAAGCCAGTTTTAAAGTCTCTGATAATCTTTGCTAGATATAGTATAGACACCAACACAAAGATATATAAAGCTTCATTTGTTTAACGGAATATCGACTTTATGGTATTGAAATTAAGTTTAGTGTGCATGGCATCTGTAGATACTAATTGAGTTCTATGTATACTAGATAATGTATTAAGAGACGTTGAAACTGACTTTTAAGCAATAACCAGATGTTTTAACACACAAATAGAGTCCAAATTATAATTATCATTTCATTACCAATCTTACAAAAAATGCGAAAGAAAATAATAAATTAAAATTATTATATTAATTTTGGCATCTAAACGGACATTTTCGAATGAAAATAATACTTTACTTAGCTGAGATAAATACGAACTTTTATCAATAAATTATTACTTTTTTTCTCACAATAATATTTTTCTTAATTTATTATTATAAACTTGGAAATATGTATTGCTTTCGTTCTTATTCTATGCACGATATATAAACTCCTTGGTTCACGGCTTTATTGTAAAAATACTCTTTATTTTAGTACGGCGTTCACGTTGTGTCGTAACAATAGTACTAATATGCAATCCATCAAATAACTTAGACTTATTTTCAACCTCATCATCTTGACTTAAGGTTGAAAATCAGTTGAAAAATGAATCGGACTTGTTCTAGCTAAAGAGGTATGGAAACATCTCTGATGTCATAGACATTTCGGTACCCGAAGGGAACATACACAAAGTAAAATCGTTCTTAAGGAATTTCATTATGATTCACATGTCGAACGTGATAAGCCCTTTTCAGATTGTGTGCCTTAAGGTTCAAAATAGATTAACTACCATCACAACACTTCGCGAACAGCTTTAGAAGATGACAGAACTAAATTTATCGCCGTCGATTCAAATAGTTATAAACAAAAGCGAGGCTTGAACAGCATTCTTAAAGAAACTATAGATAAAGGAATACGATTTACTAAGCTTAGTAGCTTTGATTAAATACAGCTTTAATATTTTCATTGACGGCGAAATTGTCAGTCAAATAACGACCACATAGGTACATTAAAAATATAATTTCAGACAGAGACGAATAAATTATAAAAATATTTGAAATATAGACTTTAAGGGTTGATGACTAAAACTTTCCCAATAGATCCGTCTGGTAGATAATAAAAATATGTAATAATAATAACGACTTACTTCCAGAAACCGAATAAACTGAGAAACTACAAGTTTCAAGTTACGTGGGTAAGTTAAGTTAAAATTCTGAATATCGTTTATTATGTTGTTAACACTAGGTTTTTCTCCTGTGCATTTTAAACTGCTAAAAACAGTTACTGCGTGCTCAAAATAAAAAAAAAATTGGCAGCGTGTCTTTCTTTCATTTACGTAAAACAAATAAAAGCTTACGACGATACCTATAAAATTTTTAATTTTAAATAGACAGTTAACTCTCAAACTTTACTTTTAATAAATATATTCTCAAAGCTAAAAAAACTTGTTTATTTTTTTTTATTATCTACCTGACGGTTCAAGTAGTTGTTAAATTTGCATAGTCTGTCATAATTATTATTCAAAACAGGTAACATTGAGTTGCTATAGCACATTCACTGACAAAAATTTAGTTCTCCATCAATTAACAAAGACGACTTCTTTGCTCATTATCTAAAACATACCTATTGCTATCTCAGTCTCACATAGAACTTTAGAAAAGGACAGAAGATAACTTTAAAAGTTGTGAACATAATCACAATGTAAGGGTTCCATGTAGTACCTAAAGGTTTTTTTTTGAGGAGGGAAAAACATCCAATCGCTTTTCCCGCTGTGGGTGGGATGAGAGGGAGTGTCAGACTCTTACTGACTAAAAACCATTCTGTTCCTTTTCCTGCACCCGTGACTCCGTAATCCCGGGGTCCTCCGTGCTTTTATTGAATTTTCAAATTCCCTACATACTACCTACTTTGGTAGACGCGGGAATTAAGCTCGGCACACGATTTGCTAAGCGGACAACGAATTTGACAGCTGTCAGATTTATTTCTGTCCCTTTCTAACTATACGCGAAAGACAAAGATAGCAACAGTACAGTCAAGAGAACGAACAAAAAATCACCTATATACATAGCTATCTGTATCTTCATAAATAAACAATTAGGTTTAGGTATGAAAAAATTATTCCATTCTCTATTTTTCTTTATAAATTATATTTTGTGAAAACTTACGCTTTAATATGTAAATCAAATTGTTCAACACTTATGCACTAAGACTGACTTCGTGGTGTGGGAATGAAGTTCGAATCAATTTACTGACTATAATTTACTACGTACCACGACAAGCGAAATTGAACTCTGTTTATTATGTGTTTAGTTTGATAATAGAGTGTACTATTATTTATGAGGTCGGCCATCTTGGATTTTCGTGTAGGTGAAGGTAGCTACAGCCATACAAATTTCATCATTATAAGTCATATGCAACAGAGTTCAAAATTCCCTGAGCGTCGTAGTACGTAGTTCTAACTGTATTTAATTAACCTTACAATAACATTAGAACAATTTGCACTTGAACGAGTCTTTAGGACAAATAGCTATGCTATTAAAATGTATAGATTTGCAACTATTTTTTAAATAAATGCATTAAACTGTATTAACAATTCAATATTTCATTTTGTGTACAACCGATCCTTTTGCTTGTTGGTTTTAATTGTTAGATATTTCATTTTCAACTATACTTTTTTTATTTGTGTAATGGCGTAACGGCGAATAACTTTTTCTAAAGACTTCTAGACATTTTAATCTGTATTTTTTTTTACATAACAGTTATCACTCATAGCGTGAAGGCAAGACCCGCGACACGTCAGTGTTAATGTTATTTAAAAAAAAACCGTGTCGTGTGTTCGTTTATAAACATACAAATTCACATAGACAACACACCCAGACCCGAAACAACAATTTGTGAATCACACAAAGTGTTGTTCCGTGCGGGAATCGAACCCGCGACACGTTGCACAGTAGCCAGTTGCCCAGCCACAGCGCCAACCGTGCATAAGTGCATTCATGAACCGACTAAAAACTGTTTTTTTTTCTGTAATTATTATGTAAATGCTTGCGCAAGCGCCTATCAACTGGCCGCAAATTCTTTGGAATTAAATCACATTACTCACTCATATCTTTTGAAAAACGAAACATCTAACAATAAAAACCAACTCTCATACTATTTAAAAATACATTCGTAGAGAACACGTAGCTACATCTAGCGTCACCTACACATTTAATTAGCGCGGCCATATTGGATTATTCTGGAACATTCTCCACACCACTTGGGAATAAGCTAGTGTACTTTGGACTTACCTGTTACGATTTTTGCGTATTCTTCGTAGAATCGCGGGAACAATTGTATAGCGAAGTAGACTACTGTTAGATAAGCTACTATCGCTAGGGTCAGTATTAGATCGAACACCGCTGGTTTTACACTGTAAAGAAAAATGTGTTTGTTAATGAATTTTGAGCTTTATGATCGGGTTTTTGAAATTGAAAATTGATTGGTTAATCTTAACTAAAAGAAAAATGTGTTTGTTAAGGGATTTTGGGTTTTATTAACCTCTAGCCTGCGGGTATATGAGATAAGGTAGAAAAAATTTCTGTGACAATGTATTATGTGGATCATATGATCCGGGTACCGCGGATATTACGGGTTACTGAGTTTTTAAAGTCTGAATTGGTCCGATTTGATTGAAATTGGGTTTGTAGATAAGTAATACCCTGGATTAACACATAAGCTGCTTTTTATCATCATAGTACGCGAGCGAATGTCGTGGTGGCCCGGAGGTTGAGGAGCCCGCTTCTCATGCATGAGGGTGTAGGTTCGAAACCTGGCAAGTACCAATGTGACTTTTTCCGTACTTTCTATGATTATTTAGATACCACTGACACACGATGAAAGTAAACATCGTGAGGAAACCTGGACTTATAATTTCTAATTATAAGTTTGAAATTGCCGCATTGAGCAAGCGTGGTGATTAATGCTCTAACCTTCTCCGTATGAGGAGAGGCCTTTGCTCAGCAGTGGGCACTTATAGGCTGATGATAATGACGTGAGCAAAACCGCAGGCTGAAGCAAGTATAGTATAAAAACTCACCTATATACATAGAGTGACGCCCTGGTTGGTCCGTAAAGCGTGTACTCGGGTTCCCTCTTGTCTACCGTGTGTGTGCTCACTGTCACATCCATGTAACGAGAGAGTGCTCGCTCTAGGGCACCCGTCACTCCTTAGGGGAAAAGAGGGATAAAATTACACAATTTCAGTATGGTGTTGAGTCAAATAAAACCACGATCTCACAGAAAAACGGCGTGTAATAACAACGGCTTTGTGTTTCGCCGTATGAATGGCCTAAACCTTAATCAACGGCAACACATTCCTAACCGGTATAAACCCGTTGAATGTCGGTTTATAAGACACAATAGAAAATACATTGTGTCTCGCGTGGACCCACGTTTAAGGCATACGAAAGGTTAAGGATGAAAATGGACGACACCGATTGCTTACCATCAGACAATTCATCTGCTCGTCTACCGTCCTATCATATTAACCCCAAAACAAAATAATCCATCTGTATTATATGAATATGAATCAATCGTAAATGTGTTAGTAAGCGCATAAATCAACAAAGTCTGGTCTAATTTTGCCAATTCCTTTTTTATTGCTGTAAAAAGAAGCTGGAATTGCTATTGGAATATGGTTCTTTCGTCGTAATCGAGATAGTTGGATACCGTGCTAAACAAGAACGGGTCAATATAAAAATATATTAGTAAGTCAGGACTCTAGTGAACCTATTCGCTTCTTCCAAAGTGTATAATAAAATTGAGTCGTATGGAGAAAACCGAGCCAGAAACTGCACGGTTGCTTTTTAATTCCTGTATTTGGTATTTATTCATATAGATATATATAGTGTTATATGTTAGACCCAATGTTACGGTCGAATTGACAAAACTCCTTCCATAAAGCGTGGCCTCAGTGCGAAATTCGTCACATGGAAGGCCAGAAAACAAAATATTTTAATAACTAGGGGGGATGATGTGGGGTAATGGATGAGACATTATTTCAGATCCAGACTCGGTGCAGTTACTGAGAATTTTTCGAATAGCACTAACTGATCCGAGACGGAGTGGCTTAAAACTATTCGACCTTCCGCAAGGCAACATTTTATTAAGAAATGCAATAATATTAAAGGTACCTGCGTTAGGTGGCGTTGTGGTGACGATCTGTGGCGCTCTCGGTTGTGACGATAAATATGTGTACCAATGTCTTATTGCCGCTTCGTCCACTCCCTATAAACAACAATAATAATAACAATTTATTTTAAATAACAATTAGTAACATTATAGGTTTTAATAGTATTGAAGCTAATACATCCATACCCACCCCAATTATTGGGGAAATTGGGGATGGGTGTTAAGATTTGGGCTTTCAATACAGTACCTAGGTAACGCTCACACAGCGAAACACAACGCGGCTGTTTCACGCCGGTTTTCGGTGAGGCCGTGGTATTATTACTCCGGTCGAGCTAGCGCATTCGTACTTTCGCCAACTATTCAACAGTAGTTAATCTTCATAATCATTATCTTGATAAGGGTCCTAAAACCACCTACCAGTGATTACGGCAACCCCCTCCCACCCCCATATTATGAGGCATTGGTGCCAAATTCATGATATTGAAGGCCAGAAAACTAAGTACTGTAATAAATTAATGTGACTTGACTAGAAGAACTAATCTCAGTTGATTCACATAAGTCGTTATTTCCAATAAATTTAATATGTCACCTTAGTAACTATATATAAAACTAGCTTTTGCCCCCGGCTTCGCTCGCGTTAAGAAATATTATTATTAATTAGGTATAGTTTTTGCGGCTTTACATTTGGCTTCATCTATCTTTAATTACGGCCCAATCAGTCGAAAATCTAACATGATTTAAACAAACTTTCATTCCCTATTTTATCCCCTTAGAGGTGGAATTTATCAAAATCCTTTCTTAGCGGATGCCTACGTCATAGCATCTACCTGCATGCCAAATTTCAGTTCGATCCGTCCAGTGGTTTGGGCTGTGCGTTGATAGATCACTATATCAGTCATCTTTGAGTTTTATATATTTAGATACTGTGATAAACTTACCAAAGCATCATTATAAAGCTCGGCGTCCTCCTGGTTGACCTCATCAGTGAGGTTGTAAATGTGGGAAGCGAGCGCTCTGGCTGTAAGAGCTATATTGTCTACCAAGTTCCTAATGGCTGCCTCCGAGGGAGTGTCTAGGACGGTACTGCGGGCTGGGTCTTTGTGACTCTGTGGGGTAAATTGTTATTTTAAGTAGGTATAACGTTATAATTATTTATAAGGGTCGTTCGTTATTAGTGGGTACAGTTCCAATGTTTAATTTATCTTTAAAACAAAGTTCTACACTTACACTTAGGTACATTGTCTCATATGACTTCGTTAAATTTATAAATGTTTCGATGAAGTCATCCAGGGACGGTATCTTAAGGCAATCAATTTATGTAGCTGTGTTAGGCAGTTGATGTCTTATGACCTATCTGATATAATGTCTTTTTTACTGCACCACCATTTATATTAATAAATCTTGTATTATTCCCAGCATTCGGTCTGACTTTAACAAACACAAAGGAATAAAAAGCCTTCCGAAAACAAAGCCCTTAACATTTCAAATTCATTAAAATACTATTTCACATATGTACACTTCACTAACAGCAATTTACGGTTCACACAAAGATTTGTTCCATAGGAGACTCGGAGTGCGAAACTATATGCAAGGCAGCCAGGAGCCCTACTTGCTCAAATGATATAGTCAAAAGGCTCACTCATTCAGCTGTTTTCGACATACCTGCAAAGAACTCAGTGTGAACGCAGTCATCCTTCGAATACTGAATCTCTCATGCTGCCAGGCCAGTAACTCGTCAGCAAGGTTGATCTTCTTATGGTTAATGTTGACTCCGAGACGTGACTTGATGGAGTGGGCCGCGCCACCTGGTTTGGGAGGCTTCGATACGTGCATCGTCATTGTAGGGGATGACGATATTGAGTCCAAACACATAACGAACGAGACGTCCTGTCAATTATAGAATTGATCTTATAAATACATAAATATTTAAAGTAATACGGCAGTTTCCAACTAGTCAAATTCAATACTTTATCTATTTTAATGTCAAAAACGAAAATTTTCTATGAAATTTGTATGTAACTTCATAATATGACGTCATAGTATTTATGAATCAAATAGCTAACTTATTTCTTGTAAATTAGCTAAAACTTCCGAAAATTTATTGTAGGTAGGTATGACAGATCGATAAATAAAAGTATAGTTATTTTTCAATATTTTATTGAATTGAAACGTCGAATTAATTTATTTTTTACCTAGGAAACTACCTAATTCTTTTGTTTAATTAAAACCATAAAATAATTCGAGCCTATAATGTCGGAGACAAAGACAACAGAATAACTGTGTATGGCAAGGTTTTGTATCTTATATTATATATTGTCTGAGATCAAACATAATATTAAGTTATTATTATGTTTGGTAAGTCAGAAATTTGTGTTTGGAGGTTAATGCGGCGGCATCTCATGCACCTTTATCCACCTCACCTTGCAACTACTAATGTAACTTTTTCCGAGTTATATGTACTCTCTCTATACATATACTCTGTGGTTGTTTAGACACCATTGACATACGGTGAAGGCAAACATTGTGAGGGAAACTTATGAGAGAAGAGGCCTATGCTCAGTAGTGGGCACTTATAGACTGATGATGAAATCAGAATATAGTATTACAGTAAATTTGAACTTACTTGCAACAAGGCAGCATCAGTAGAATCCAGTTGCTCTTCCAACCACTTCTTAGCAGAGAAGTAGTTGAGTGAGTGTCCGAGGGAGGTGAGTACAAAGAGTAGAGAGGGAGCGCCCCTCACGGCCGCGTTACTGTATAGGCGGGAGAACACACGGGCTAGTTCGAGTATTGCAACCGCGCCGGACGCGTTGGAGTCTGCGCCTTGGGAGAGCTCCTGTTGAAGAAGATAAGTATTTTTAATTGATAAACACATTCATTTTCTGCGTTAGCCGGCAATTGCAGCTAACTTTATATCTGACTAGCTACTCTCGCACGGTTTCACCCGCTGCTCAGCTCCTTTTGGTCGTAGTGTGATGTTTTTTTACCTATAGCCTTCCTCGATAAATGGAAGTAACGCAAAAAGATTTGTTCAATTCGAACCAGTAGTTCCTGAGATTAGCTCGTTCAAACAAACAAAGAAACTCTACAGCTTTATAATATTAATATAAAAAGTGCAAGCGAATTTTTCAAGTCTATCTTAGTATAAAAAGTAAAATCGCAAAAATGTCAGTTAGGATTTCTTGTCACTTCATCGTCGATTTCTTTTCTATTGACGTGACACTTTTGTTTGATGGTGGCTTCGCTTACGGTACCAACCAGGGCAAAAAATAGTCGATGTATTATTCCAGACTATATCTAATCTATCACAGTGCGAAATTTCATTCCGATTTTTCGTTTAGTAGTTTTTAGGTGAAATGGTAATAAAAACTCCAATAATTTACTTACAAACATTTGCGTTTAGAACATAAGTTGGGTATTGATTAATTTCTATAAGTGACTAGCGGCTCACCCCCGCTTCGCACGGGTCCAACCTAACTCGCTAACAACGAAAGGATCCCTTTTTCCCAATTTTCCCCTCCACTTTTCTAATATTTTGTTTCATAAGAGCCTTCTCCTGACCATAATAAAAACAAAACAAAAGGATTTGTCAAAATTTGTCCAGGCGTTTTTGAGTTATGTGCTTACCAACACATTTTGCGATTCATTTTTTAAATTATAGATGTGTGGTCAACAAATAAATGTATATAAACAAAACAATTGAAGACACTTTTCAAATTGACCTTAATAAGTACATTTGGTTGATTTGTATCTACTGCAATAGCATCTATTCAATTCTCTCAACACGAAGACAGCATAAATAGGCCGGCGGGACCAGATTGATACTAAGGCTTCACAAAAAACCGGCGTGAAGTAAAGGTTGCGTTGTTTTTTAGACGTGTATGTGAGGCACAATTCTGCACCTCCCCCATCCCCAAACCTCTAACATTCAATAGGTGTTGTGGATAGATATCTATGGGTGATGGCTTATTATCAGGTTAATTGCCTGTTCATTTGACAAGACTTTAGTAAATAGGTCACATAATCGCTTACCATCAGACAGACTAGTAAAAATAGAAAAAATATCCTAGAAAACCTGTTATTTATCAGTTAAACTTACTGGTACGGCAGCTGAAGAGTCATAATGCGCTGCGATGACGATCGTTTGTGCCGACCCGGAGCGACCGACCAACTTCCCGTGAAGGGTCACTGGTTTAGAGTCCAGCTTAGAGGGCGTCGACGCTGATACCACTGTGGAATGAGAGGAAACCATTAGTGGTCGCAAGGAACACATATGGAATTGGCCAGACCCGAGCGTACCGCGCGCTTCAAAGGGCCATTAGACCACCACAGACGATGTTCAGCCGTGGTTGCGGGGTAAGCACAATGAGGCACCGCGACCTCGGCCCAGAGCAGGAGAAGGACCATGGGTGTTTTTAGTCAGTAAGAGTCTGACACTCCCCCGCCCGGCCCTGGGCTGGAGAAGTAATTTGATGATTTTCCCCTCATCAAAAAAAGCCCTTGTAATAGAAGTCAGGGTTGCGGGTCAAGCGCAACAATGTGCCATGACCCCATGGCCTGGCGCAGGAGGAATGACTTCTTCATTTGATTTCATTTTACCAACACAAAAACCCTTTTCATTAGAGCTTTTATCACCATTCTGTTTATCAAGTCTTTTACTAGTGTATTTCTGCATAGAATAAACAAATAGCTCAACTAAATAACTGACAGAAATAACTTAAACTTTTTGTTTCCCACTCGAGACATTTACACACAATTATTACTAAACCTACTCTAAAATTTAATTACAGCCAGTATGTAGCCATGCCATTGTGAACCAGTAGTGAATAGTGAATTTAAGTATCCTTGTTAATCATAATTGTTTCTCTCTACTACCACTAGACTTAGTTTTCACCAAAACTATATTGGAATTCTTACTAAAAAGAGGTATGGAAATATGGTTGTAATAAAATAAAGCTGATTCTGATCAGGTATTTAACATTAAAAAAAATACACTTTATGATCCGTCGTCGTATTTGCAAAAAAAATGAATTTTTACTTATAATTTGACGTGTAAAGGTGGCGTTTTATGGCCTATTTGCTAAAATAAATTCATTGACTCATTGTTTCAATTAGAATATTAATGGTATATTTTTATTATAACTTTCGTGAGACATTCTAAATTATTTATTATGTTTTCGGCTTACTTATTCTTACTTACTCACGTAATTGTTTTCACGAGATACTCGACTAGTTTCAAGCCATGCTAGAGGCCCCTATTCATGAGCAACAGCATTCCGCGACAGTCACCGCGTTGTGTGTCGCGGAATGCTGTTGCAATATATGTTTAAAAACCCTAATGTATTGCCATTTCAGTTACTAATAAATATAAATTAGACAGATCATGTATGAAACTGACATTATAGTTGACGACAACAATACATTGGAGAGTTGGATGCCATTAAAGAAGAAAAAAACATATTACCTGGAAAGTAGGTAGACAAAACATGTACTTGACAATAAAAGTAAGCTCAATACAAATAATAGAATACCTGTATGTATGTTACTACTCTCTGATAGACGTTTATCTTAAGTATATTTATTCTATGATTTAGGACAAGATAGCAACAGAGATAGCAATAAAAACAAATATTTCCGTATCTCTGAAAGAAAGTAGCTCTTCATAAAAGAGTAGGTATAACAAAACACCTTTATTACCCAAAGGGAAAGGCAGGACAGCAACTTATGCTAAAATGAACTTTTCAAAGGATTATTCAGTCTAAGTCACAATTCCAAAATTCTCATTACGGTATGAAGGCTGAACCTTTACTTGATATATGGAATAGATAGAGATACCATAACTGTTAGACAATTTGAAATTCCGAAAGAAGATAAAAAACATATATTTTTTATTTTATTTATTTCTTTATCATATTACCAGTAAATACAGGATTATCACTTAAAATAGCAACCAAAAACCTGATTATGATTGTGGAAAACTTAAAATAAACTATCCCTGCATAGACTAACACATTTTACGGACATGCAATGGAGAATGCCCACCCATAAACAACCTATTTACTCAGTTCTACCTTTCACGGAACACAGACCCCGGCAAAAAATTTCCACTCCTTATTATACTATTTATCAACACTTCTGTCCACTCCAGAGCAAATAAATAGGCTGTTGAATAGTTATCAAAAACAAATGTAAGAATCCTTACCAATCTGATATCCATTAGAAGACACTGAGTTCATCATAGCTTCCAGAGCTGTTCCTGACTTGTCATCAGTGATGAAGCTGTGCTGTAAGTCTCGCAGAATATCCTCAAAGTCTGGAGACCAGCGAGCAAAGTAGACTGGGGCACTCACTTCTTGCTGGATCATGGCCATCTCAAGGAGTTGGATGTGCTGCGGAAAATGAAATAGAATTGTTTATTACACAATAGGTATATTTAACAGAGAAACTCACATTATTTTGTATTTATTATTATGTTTAAAAATAGCTACACCTAAGCGAAATTACAGAAAAACAACAAATATTATTGAAAGAATAATTTAAAACTTCTATTAGTCTGATTTCCGCATGGATCTAAACTTACCACTTTGTGTGATCCAAAAACTTGTAATTCAAGTCTGTTTGCTTCCTTTTATAAAGGTGATTGAGAAAATGACAGGGTAGGACGAAGTTTAAAAAAAACAGGTAATACCTCTTTTTCCTCAGGAGTAAGAACAGTGTCATTTTTAGGCAACACCAGCAGCAAGGCACCTGCTTTGCTGCGGATCTCTATGAACTGTTCAATGCTGATATCCTGCACCCTGGCGACAACACAGTGACGAGAAGTACTCCAGGAAGTTAAAGAACGACCTTCCAAGTTGAAGCTAGCACTGCGGCATCCTGTATAAAAAACAAAAAGAAAATATTGCTATTTAATAAGAATAGATTTAATTTGATGCTACTGACCATAAATATTGAACTTTCTTATTTATGAACTTTTATACTTATGTATACATGTATGTGTATGTTGTATTAAATAAATCAAATGTAAGGCAAATAAGGAAAATCTATGTATTTCTGTAGCCAAGAATACTAATAATTATCTTGTATTTTAGTTAGCTTCTACATTAAATTTCAAATCTATTTTAATAATTCACTTGTAACAAAAATTTTACTTAATACTTTTTAAAGGTAATAAAAAACTTTTATTACAAATAAATGAATGAATAAGAAGTCCTTAAATTCTGTGATAGAGCTAATTAAAACCTAATAAGGATACTTGAAATCAAGTAGGTAAATTAATTTCGTTCACTAATTTCAATATTGTTTTTTTTTTACTAACGTTATTAAGTTGACAGTCATAAAATAAACAGCCTCTTAAGTAGCTAAAGTAACATAACCTCTAAGTTGGAATCGATTTTTTCGTTTTGAATGATAGAATATATTGAACTATGCAAACTCACCATGGGGAACGGTGTGTAAGTCGTAGTGTTGCATTCTGTACACGGAAAACTCATGAGAAGCAGCGACCGGGTTCACAGGAGACATTATGATAAATATAGGTAGAGCCACAAGTAAGTAATAGGGTAAATAGCCCTTAAAAATCTCGGCAAAGCCGTCCGCCTCATCTAGCCACATCTTGGTGACTAATTGTATTTTCAGTTAACAAAATTAACACTAAAACCAATTTTTAGTTCTAACCATAATCCAATTAGAAACCCTACGTGTGATAAGTCGGTCAATGACATTCCATTTGCGTGACACTAGTGATGTGAAGTAAGTAAGTAGTGTTGTTTAGTTTTACTAATATGAGGATAGTCGAGTAGGATTAACTTACTAAAAAATAAATAGGAAGTCGTTTTAAATTCGTCATTTTATTAAATGATATTTCAAATATATTTCGATTATTTTCTTACACATATATGTACGAAATAATCAACGAGTATATTAACTATCTATTCAACATATTAACAAAATAAAACGCACTTTTCGATAAAGTTACCAACAAAATATCAAGATGTACCTGTAGATTTAGTTTTAAGCTAGTGTATAATCATTCAATTGATTTGAAGTTAGTTTTGAATAAAACTGGAGTTTCGACTAGCTTCTATGTAGCAATCCTACCCGCAATAATTAAAATAATTGTCACATAGCTTTTTGTTCTATAAACGAAAAAATATTATTATTTTTTTGGTGTTCTAATTAACAATCTCCTTAATATAAAACAGTTACAGTACAATTTATTGACAATTGGTAGTTACTACCTTTTAAAAGTAAAAAGTATGTATATAATATAGGTACCTATTTAAGTTTTGTGAGGGGAAAATCATCAAATGACTTCTCCCGTCCAGGGCCGGGCGGGAGGGAGTGTCAGGCTCTTACTGACTAAAAACCTGTTACTTCTCCTGCTCTGAGCCGAGGTCGCGGTGCCTCATTGCGCTTACCCCGCAACCCCGATACCTATTTTAGTTGACTTTGACAGTGTGTTCTCGTGTACATACTTAGTCTAGTTATGCACTAAATTGTGTGTAACTAGAATAAGCATGTATATTTACGTAGTACGCGTGTAGTTTAAGTAACTACATTTGTATATGTAGTTAAACCGTATTAGGTAATATTGATAATTCAATTATTCTTCTCCTTTGGTGTTGCGGCTATCCATGGGCGGCACTGATCGCTTCCCATCAGGTAAAACGTCTGCTCGTTTGCCGACTAATATAAAAAAAAAACTGTAAAATGTTTTATAGTTTACACACGTACCTATCTAACTATTGGACGAGTTACTCGACCAGTTTCAAACCAAGTTATGGACTCATTTTTACGACGGTCGGCATCGTTCAACTACATAACTGAGTTAACAACTAGCTGTAATATAATAACGCTAGACTTGTCAATATCAAAATTTTGTGCCGCTTTTTTAAAAATATGTTTTTTTATATCAATTTTATCATTTCACACTAACATTTTTCTCATTACGCGACAAAATCCGAAATATTGAAATTCGCCAAAGAACCAAAGTCACCGACATATGTAGCTCGTAAAATCTGCAGGCTAAAGAGGCAATGGGCAGGCCACGTCGCTCAAAAGACGGCCGGTCAATGGGCTCGAAAAGTCCTAGAGTGGCGACCAAGGACCGGAAAACGTAGTGTGGGCAGGCCTCCCGCTAGGTGGGCCGTCGTCAGAGTCGCGGGGCGCCAATGGATGCAGGTGGCAACTTGTCGTCCGACGTGGAGAGTTAAGGGGGAGGCCTTTGTCCAGCAATGGACGTCATCCGGCTGATGATGATGATGACGATGATGACACTAACAATATGCAAATCAAACGATAGATATTTGAAGAAATAGTTTTAACAAGATCTTTTTTGGTTGAAATTTAATATGCCAAGTATACCAAAATAAAAATTATATTACTAAAGCAATTTGTTCAGTAAGTAGGTACCTACTCGTTAAAACAATTTATATTTCAATACTTATATTAAAAGATGTTATTTATAACGCTATTCACCCGGTTGAAAAGGTTATCGCGATTGGATCTATGCGCTTTCGATTGCAGGTATTCGATATCGCGGGCCAATTGCAACAGAATAACAAGTTTACATCGAATGGGTCGAATTGCTAAAATTAAATGCTATTAAGTAAGATAGTCTTTGGAAATATTCTTTCACCCATTTTTTGTAGATAGTTCAATTAATGGAGATTCATACAACACCAGCTATTGTTCTCATTACTTTCTTAATGATCGCGGGTCTGCGGTCGGCGAGTAAGGGCAGCTCGCCGCCCGACCAGAACCAGGCCCGAGTGAACGGCGCGTAGCGTTCTGCGTGCGCCTCAAAGAGACAATAGACCACCACAAACGGGGCCCTATAGGGCTGATGTTCAGCCGTGGTTGCGGGGTAAGCGCAATGAGGCACCGCGACCTTGGCCCAGAGCAGGAGAAGGAATAGGGGGTTTTTAGTCAGTAAGAGTCTGACACCTGCCCTTCCACCCGACCCTGGGCGGGACAAGGTTATTTGATGATTTCCCTTCACAAAAAAAAACTTTCTTAATGATCGAATAAAATTAAAAGGGCGTTAGTCTTAATGGTGGCCCGGAGGTTAAGGCACCCGCTTCTCATGCGGGTCCGGGGTGTCAATCAGGGTAGGGATTCGAAGCCTGGCAAGTACTAATGTGAGTTTTTCCAACGTATACTCGTATGTACTTTCTATAAGGAAGGGAATGAAGGAAGAAACCGCATGGAAACCTGGACTTATGATTTCCAATTATTCTAATTATAAGTTTGAAATCGTCAATCTGTCTTGGGCAAACTTGGCGATTAGTCAAATGCTCAAACCTTCTTCGTGTCAGAAGAGGCTTATGATCAACACTGAGCACTTAATAGGCAGATGATGTTTGTACGTGGTATACGTTTTTTGGTTGTCAAGGTTTAATAAGGTAGCCCCAATGACTAGCTGATTAGCTGGTTGGAAACATCATCATCATCCTTCATAAAACGGCTTTCTGTGACCATTTTGGTCGTCTGTACACCTTTTTTTTGTGCGGAGACAATCAAATGACTTCTCTCACCGAGGATGACGACGAGGGGGTGTGTTAGACTGACTAAAAACCCCCCGTTTCTTCTCCTGCTCTTGGCTTAGGCTGCGGTGCCTTATTGAGCTTGCCGCGAACTGGACGACGTACAACGCTGCGCTTGCCTGTACGCCGTCTACATTATTTTCATAGCGTCTTATTTTGGTTTAAAAGGGGGGAATCATCAAATGTTGCAGGACCTGGTTGAGGCGAGAGGGGGTGTCAGATTCTTACTGACTAAACACCACCTCGGTCCTTCTTTAGCTACAGGCCTTTATTGCGCCTTCCAATGAGTTCTATAATATAACACGGAGTATATTTGTGAGTGTAACTCTATATGTGTGTATAAATCTTTCAAACATATTCTGTGCCAAAAATATTATTTTTAATGACATGTTAGATTTAACATATTGACTAAATAATGAATTAATTATAACTTATTATCTACTTACTATGTAGTCTTCCTTATCTGACTTTTTTACGAACGATATTAACAAGTAATTCATTAATTATCTATACTAATATCATAAAGAGGTAAAATTTGCAAGTTTGTAAGTTACATTCTTAAGTTACAAGGTTAAGTTACAAACGTAGGGGTAAGCTTCCGAACCGCTAGTCCGATTTCCAAAATTCTTTCACTAATTGATAGCTACAATATTCCCCAGTGCTGGGCTATAAAACATCACGCTACAATCAAATGGAGCCGAGCAGCGAGTGAAACCGCGCGAGAGTAGCTAGTAGGCTATTTGACGCGCTAGTATCCGGAGCTATTGGTTCAAATTGAACAAATCTTTTTTTTTTGTTAGTTAGTCCATTTATCGAGGAAGGCCATAAATTTTATTATGTAATAAACAAAATAAAATCATTAATGTATCAAGACCGTGCATAACATAAGCGCTATACTAAGCATGTCTAAATTCAATCTGAAGTTACCGAAAGACAAAATTATTAACAAATAGCTATCCTCAATTTTATTAAAAACTTATTAGCTACCATCACGAAATTCGAAACGTAGTTCGTAACGCCTGCTACGGAAGCTACGAGTGCTACGAGCTACGCACGTAGCTACGAAATGCCTCCAGTCTACTACACAAATTGTGCAAGTGGCCAACCAACCGCAATTTATGTCACTGGCGGACACTACGCCACTAATGGGGGACAGTGGCTGCAATTCGTTACACGTTGCCAACTTTCAAAAGGAAAATGAAAGATTTATCTCCAACTAAAGCTCCTACGGACTTTCTAAATTAACTTGAAATTGAGAAAGGCATGTATCAAGTTTAGTTTTTCATTTGCATTTTTAAAAGTGGCATGAGGTGAATTATAACGTTGATAGGAAACATGGATTTCAAAATCGCTGATTCGCCTTGAGTAAGCGTGGTGATTCATGTTCAAACCTTCTCCGTGTGAGAAGAGGCCTTTGCTTAGGTCGGCTCTTATAGGCTGAAGATGATGAATACAAAGTCAGCAAGGCTATTCTTTCAAATTGCAATAAAACATAGTACAATTAAGGAAAAAACAACGCTAATATTTCTCAGATTATTAATACAAATCTTTATCTTTAATTATAATTATTTGTGTCGACTATCCACATCGAACGTGACTGAAAGCAAAGTTTCTCGACTGCAGCAGAAAATCTCAGCTTTCTTTTTACAGACACTGAATTTTCTTTTCACAATTACCCCTCGGAATTTTATCTTAGCATCGAGGTAGGAACGCGAACGCAAAAACGGTTAGCAATTATTTCGAGGAATCACGTTCAGTGTCGAAGCTGAGACGGGCCGGAAAGTGTTTAAGAGGTTTTGTGCAAACTTGCTTTGGCTTTCATTGTAGTAAAAATACCAAAAAGCAAAAATACTAACTATGTATTTTTGCTTTTTGGTATTTTTCATATATCTATATCCATTATGAAACAAAGTCTAAGGTAGTTTAGTATGTTGATTTGAAGACATTTAATGTTTACTTTATCTTAGGTAACTAATTGATCCCTGTATTAATTACTAGAACAATGTATCATCAGCATTCACACGACAGTTGAACGTTACAATTAAAAGTATTTACTAAACTAATTCGGAATAGTTGCGTTGAGATAATTTGAAGTAATAAGGGCTTTGGAGGTGTATAGTAGGAGCGGTTGTCGTGAGTCCCGGGGCGTCGGGAGCCGGGGATGCGTCGTAGAGTACGCGTAACCACACAACAGGGACATTCAGAAGATCTAATTCCTTAACAGGTGTATGAGAAAAAATGGTGAATGATTAATATGGTGAAAACCAGATGAAGCTTTTTGAAAATTAATAAATGTAGCGAAAGGGTAATTTTTTAAACTTTTATGGGACCTGGGAAGACGTTATAAATTTTTGGAAGCTGCTTGCAACGAAACTTCTTGGATTTGCTATTGAATGGGAGCGGTGTGGTGTGCGAAGCGCGAGGCGGCGCGGCGCAGTGCGGCGCTATCGAGCGGGCCCACGGAGGGGCGCGGAGGGCGCGGGTGGGGGCGCGGGGCGGCTGGCTGCACGCGGCAGTGTGCGCTGAGCCCCCGGGAGCGCGGCATGGGTGGCGCGCTGCTGCTAGCGCTGCTGGCGGCGGCGCGGGCCAGCGAGCCCAATGCCACCGAACTCAGCCCCTCGCCGCCACCAGAAGAAGAGAAGACCCCGCTCTTTCCCATCGACCTGTTCACAGAGGAGCAGCGGCGGTCGGGAGCCGTGCTGCTGCATGTCATCGGCATGGGCTACATGTTCGTGGCGCTGGCCATCGTGTGCGACGAGTTCTTCGTGCCGGCGCTGGACGTGATCATAGAGCGGCTGGCCATCCGGGACGATGTAGCCGGCGCCACGTTCATGGCGGCGGGGGGCTCCGCGCCGGAGCTGTTCACCTCCATCATCGGCGTGTTCGTGTCGTTCGACGACGTGGGTATCGGGACGATCGTGGGCTCGGCCGTGTTTAACATTTTGTTCGTGATCGGTGCGTGCGCGCTGTTCTCTAGAACGACTTTGACACTAACTTGGTGGCCCCTGTTCCGAGACTGCTCCTTTTATTCCGTCAGCCTTCTCGTGTTGATATATTGTTTCCGGGACAGCGAGATATACTGGCAGGAAGCGCTGGTGCTGTTCTCGCTGTACGGGGCGTACGTGATGTTCATGAGGTGGAACCAGCCGGTGGAGCGAGCACTCAAGAAGCTCATCTACAAGAACAAGGTGACGCGAGTGCGGAGTACTGATCAGCTGATGCCAACGGTGAGCTCGCCCGCACACACCCAAGCATGCTATGTTGCAGTTTGGCACAGATTTGGCAAGCGTTCAATTCTCTGCTATGCCAAAAACCTTCTATCATTTCCTTCCCTAGACACAAAAGATGTCGATTACGACACACATACGAGCTAAAAAGTAGATGTTTCATTCAGAAAATCGAAGAAATCGAAGTAAACATGAATTGCGTTCTTGCTGAATCTGCGCCAAGATTTAGAGTATCGACTTTCAATAGAGCCTGCGATGTGTTGAACCTTCTAAACTTTAGATCAGAGACATTCCCCTATCAATCCATACGTATACAATTAGTGCATTTAAATAAGGCATCGATTGAACTACGTCAGTATTTTATCATCTCATTATAACCTAACAAAATAATAAACTTTATCTGCCTACTAACAAACATAAAATATTAGTGACTATTATAACATTTGACCTCAAAGTTAACTATGCGATATTTTGTATAGTTACAAACTACTTACAGTGTATTTGCCTAATGAACGGTTATCGTGATTGCTTTTATGTTGCACGCCGCGCCGCGTAATACTTACCCACATATTCTCATTCCAAACTAACCTACCTAAATTTTGATTTTACGGGTAATAGGACCGTATCGAAGATATGTTATTGATATAATTACTTTTTCAATGAAACAATACCTAGTAAAATATACCTCATAAAGTATAGACAATATGTATTTTCTATAGTAAAATAAAAAAAAAGTTTTACCGCCACATCTCTGCCACAGATAAATAAAATTTCGGTCAATGATTCTACTATACGAAAATCTATTTCGATTTTTAAAAATCTGCAGCCAGCCATTCAAATTCATATTCCATTTAGCAACTTACTCCGGATAGCACAGCGTGTGAGCCGTTAGAAATATTTCAAGTATTTATGTTATTGTAGGTATGTAGTAAAATCAAAGAGCCTACAGAATTTTCAATAAAATTCTTTACATATCACGAGCGTCGGAATTTTAATTTCGTTTTCTGTCCCGCTCTTGTTCTTAGGTAAAGAAATTCAATTTTGGTACGAATGCGATTATTCTAAATCGAGTTTGCGTATCGATTCTTGTTGATACATTTTGATGTCATCACTCAATAGTTTGTTTTATTTTCGTTGTAGAATTTTATAGGTTTACCTTTTAGCTAAAATACTACTTTTATTATTTTAAAGCTGATTATTCTCTGTTCTACAAAGGTAAAAGTTAAAATTTACTACTGCAAGGTTTGTACAGCGACTGAACGACCAGCTGCTCTGCACTGTGTCGCGGGCTCGATTTCTTCATGGAACATTTCTTTGGGTAATGCCGAAATGTTGTTCCGTGCGCTGGTATCTAGCGTGCTTCTAATATGAAAAATATAATGAAAAAATAATATTAAATTATTTACCCAACCACTGAAATCAATACCTGATAGTTTACGCTTCTGGCAATTGAATCAAACAGAAGTTTAGGCAATACAAAGTTACAGTTGGCAGTTATCGATTTTCGACTTGTCGTAACATAAAAAACTTCTTCATAATCGTAAAACTTACATTATCATAAAAAGTAGTAACATTTTATTTGGTGAACCTGACAAAACACGCATGTTGGCCGATTTCCGCAAAAATATGAAATAGGTTGGTAGTATGTAGGTCGGTATATTGAACAAGGCTGAAAACAGTAATGTCATTGTTATTTATGAAATGTCATAAAAGAAATGACAATTCGGTTAGCTGTCAATTTTAGCGGTTTTTTTGTCGACGACGTTTTTCACCTATTTTGGTAAATAACAAAATAAATATTGTCAAGTTCTTACGACTGTTTCGAAATCGGGAGATTTAGAAACCGTCGTATTTATCCAAATGCTTACATTTTTTTTGTAAAAAACACATTTTGCTATTGTCATGCACTGAGCGCATCATCTAAGCAAGTACAAGGCGAAGAATTTTAAAAATGGAAACACCAAACAAATATTCACTATCAAATCTGAGATTCTGTAGATACCTAGGACTACCTGCAACTACTCGACCAAGAAGGCAACACTGCCCAATCTTAGTATTGATCGGCCTCCGTGTTCCGCAGACCAATGAGGTGATCAATTAATTATATCGGGATCATTAGCAATAGTCCCTGATACCATTACGAGATACGAGATTTCAAACCAAGTATATTTGATTTCGAAAGATCGTTTCGATTATATGATTAATAATTTTGAATTATAGAAGAAAAATTCTTCATTATCTTCATATACTAGCCACCTGCCCCTGCTGCGCATAGACGTTGGTGTGATGAAGAAACGGTCGCTTCTTTCTGAGTTCCTCCTTTAATTTTCAAATATATGATCATATGAATCTTCTTCTAACAATAACAAACACAGACAAAAAAACGAATCATCGAAATCCGTTCAGCCGTTCTCTGCATTCGAACAACCTGACAGAAAACCGACGTGAAACAACCATAGTGTTGGCGTTGTGTTTCGCTATGTGAATGAGCTTATCGGAGGCCAAATCCGTCTCCTGCAGCCGCATGCTTTATTAATCTCTTAATCTTCAAACCCTACTCACCAATAGGCTAGTAACTCCTCTGGTGCTGCGGGTATGGGTTACCATCAGATAATGCTTCTGCTTTTTTGCCGACCTAAAAACATGAGGTACTCGTGAAGAAAAAGTTTTTACAATGACGGGGCAATAGACATTGTTAGACTCTTACAAGTTTAAAAACACACCGTTCTTTCTTCTACTTCAAGCCGGGGCCGCGGTACATTATTGCGGTCATACCATAACTCTGGCTGAAGATACTCCGTCATCATCATCATCATCATCATCAGCCTATAAGTGCCCACTGCTGAGCAAAGGCCTCTTCTCATACGGAGAAGGTTAGAGCGTTAATCACCACGCTTGCTCAATGCGGGTTGGCGATTTCAAACTTATAATTAGAAATTATAAGTCCAGGTTTCCTCACGATATTTACCTTCACCGTTTGTCAGTGGTGTCTAAATAATCATAGAAAGTACATATAACTCGGAAAATACCTACTCCGTGCTTTTACTAAAATTATCAAAAAACTTTAATTCAAAAATAACTCATTTACAATAACAGACAGAATAATTCCTATTACAATTCAGTTTAAATGCAGCTCAATTAAATCATCTGGTTCTATCCATCTGCATATTCAATTTCATTCCGTGCATATTGCGATCCGTACTGGCTCCGTCATAATAAAATTTGTAAAGCAATTTAACAATTTATAGTGGTACTTGTATGCTTGGGAATAGAGAGCAAACGAAGCATTATGTCTTTTATTATTATAATAGATATTGTCAAAACACGACACAGCAATAATAGAGAAGGCCAGGTTTTTTTAAAAAGGGAATTTCCATTATTTCTTTGTACATCAGTTCTGGTTACTTTTGTGTGGGAGAGTCATGCTTCTGCACGAATGGGCCTGATCGACCAGAGTAGTTCCCAACCTCACGGAAAACTGGCAAGATACAACGCTAGTGTTGTGTTTCTCCGTGTGAGTTTTGTACTAGCGGTCTTGTCTCCCATCAAAAGTCAAAAAGTGAAAAATCATTTATTTCAATTAGACCCTTACAGGCACTTTTGAAGGTCAAACAAAATTTTAAAGATATAATGGCAGTCTGTCGGTCAGCTTTCTTACTGAAGCTATTTGCTCGTTATAAAGTGTGGATTCCGATGGAGAAGAACCAGCAAGAAATCTCCGAATTCTCCAATCCTCTCTCCTCCTCGCTGGTCGATGCCGTTGTCCATAGGCGCGTCATTGCTTACCATCAGCTTAGGATCAGCTGATGGTAAGGCTTCCATCCATTGCTTACCATCATCTGATCCATCTGGATTAGCTGATGGTAAGAAATGGATGGATGGATGAAAATAAGTAGAAACCTATTTGACGTCTTCTCTAGATAAGAAGGTGTTTGTAATGCCCACGTTTAGCAGGTTGAACCAGAAACCCTTAGTTAGCTCCTACGATACGCACGGGAACAGAAGATATTGTGCGAAACAAACATTGGTTGAGTGTATTTATTCAATCAAAAAATGCACTTAAAATTTTAATAAAATATATAAAATAGATATGTATGTTTAAAACAAACGACTTAATAACGGAGTGTAGAATAAATTATTTATTTGCTAATCGACGGTGTACAAGTGTTTCGATGTTTAAATTGTGTTTTTGTCATTAATAATTCAGTAGAGGGCGTGCCGTGTTTTGTACCATTGTTGGATGTAGTTTATTGCTTCATTTTCGATATATTGCTGATTTTTTTTTCATGATTTATAACATTACGCCTGCTTTTTCTCGATTAGGTATACAGAATTGCATTTAAAACAGGAATCTCCCATGATCGCTATCGGTTCGCTTACTTTATTGGGTATTTTGGTGCATTTTGCTTCTAATATTGGCAAGCCATGTTATTCGTTACATACATTTTTAGACTTCTTAGTCTTTCGGCTTGCCGAAATTTATATACCAGATAGCTCAAAAATACTTAAGCCAGCCCTCGGACTTGAGATATCAACCTCTATAATCGACTTACTACAATTAGAGCTCAACATTCAAGACATTGAATTTATAAAAGATATACCTATGATGATTTTACTGCAAGCTGTTTCTGTAAACTAACTAAAAACTTAGGACAAAACTAAATAAATAGGTAGTCACAAATCATGAAAATTGCCGACATCTAAAACTATTATTAATAAAGCTGCTATAATATTTATAATCGATTTTGAACAATGGACATTTAATGAAAAAGAATCCAACGTGAGCCATTTCTAAGTAACTAAAGCTACGGAAAGCACGCTAAACGTAGAGAAATTTTATGAAAATTGTTCTTTTTGGTTTACACGCTTACAAGTGAAGGGAGAGCTTGGGGTTAAATATTTTTTCATAAAATACTTTTCTGACATGAAACGGCGAGACTCGCGTTTCTTTTCTAAAGGTGATTTAGTTTTGTTTAATATGTGTCGGTTTTTATTAAAGGTTTTGTAGGGAAAGAAAGTAGTTCAAATTATAATAATGGTTTTCATGGGAATTGGTGAACAATGATCAATATTAAACTTTGAGAAACGAGAAAATTGTGTGGTTGGCTTGAAGACACGGCTAGCTTGCATAGACACGGAAACCCTGGTAACTTAAAATAAAGTAGTTTAGAAAGTTAAAAAGCTAAAAGTTGGGTAACAAGCTTCGGCTTGTTGTTGGTTGAATCTACTAACCTTATTTACTCCAAACTATGTAAAAACTTACAACAGCTCGGGGTTACGGGGTAAGCGCAATAAGGCACCGCAACCTCGGTCCAGAGCAGGAGAAGGAACGGGGGTTTTTAGTCAGTAAGAGTCTGACACTCCCTCCCACCTGGCCCTGGGCGGAAGAAGGGATTTGATTATTTTCTCTAAATCTACTTTGATTATTCTAGAAACTACGTTTGGTTTTAAGGATTAACCAAAATTATTGGTATCTCATCATCAGACCATAAGTGCACACATGTCGCACAAAGACCTCTTCTCACAAGAAGAAGGTCTTGATCATTAATCACCACATTAGCTCAAGGCAGATTGGCGAATTAAAATGTATTATTAGAAATTAATTATATTATAAATCCAACTTGGACTTACCTACTTCTCAAAATTTTCATTCATTGTTTGTAAGTACAAATAACTAGGAAAAAGACACTTTGGTACTTGCCAGGCTTTGAACTCGCGCTCTTCTACATAAATAGCAGGTACTTTAATATCCGGGCTACTTATGTGTACCGTAAAATATCTTCGATATTGTGTACCGTAAATATATCTCCGATGAACACATTTTCATAAGAATGTGAAAAGCGTGATTATACACCATGGCATGTGTTTTAGAAATAAATGTGAACGCACACATCTAATCAAATCACAATACAACCAACCGAGTAAAGGTCATATCTCTATTGCCTACTTAATTAATTTTGTGACCTAACATGATTCGAAAATGCTCTAAAAACATACAACCCTAATAAAAACTTGGCAACACATTACGTAAGGCTAGCGTGCTAAGTTCACGTGTGTACTCGATTTGATTTTAATCGATTACAGTTTTCGTATTTTTTTTTTAATGCTATGGTTTGCGTTTTGACGGCCACGTTCGCCCTTTATGCGTTGTGATGACACGCGAATTAGGTTACAGGGTTATGGCTTTGCGCAGCAGTGAGGGGAAATTAGTCGATTTTTTTGACGTTTGTGGTGCAACGGAAATTAGGGGTGGGCTGCGTAGCTTTTTTAGGTTGTGTTTTATTGGTGTAGGGGATACAGTTTTTGCTGTGTAACTTTATGGTGTTGTTGAGTATGTTTTGAATATTGAAATAAATAGACCAATGTATACATTTTTGTTTATGTATATGGACCATGATATAAAGAACAAAATAAATAAAATTATGGCGATTATCACCGTATATGTCTTGTAGTAAATACCAATACTGCTGTTAAGGATTTGAAATAGTAGTTTATTTGAAAACATCACATTTAAGTTGCCTAAAATTTAGCATTACTGTCCGAGTCGATATGTCTGCCTATTAAAAAGTGTCATGTACGTAATTCCATGCTACCACCTAACTAAATATTTAAATTTTCCCATTATTATATAGAAAACAACTAGCCATATCTAGTAAATCCTCAAATAAAAATTCAGCATACAGCACAAAGACTTATTTTCACAGAGTTCCAACGTTCAAAGGCTCTCCTTTTCTTGCACCGTAAGTGGAAAACTGTGTAAAATGCAGTCTCTGTAATAACTAGTACTGCCTACATCTTTCGTTTCTTGAAAGAATTATTAAGTAGAAAATGAAAAATTTTCAATCTGCTTGTTTCATAAGTTTTAAATTGATTCAGAGTTGGACTTTCTTTGTTTAAATTTTTTTAAATTGCATTTTCATTTGACAAATTTAAAATACTTCAAATTCAAAATAACCTGGTATAGTTCTATTATACAAAAAAGATCATAGCTCTTTTATACTGAACCAATCTACAGATTAAAAACAAAAGAAAAAAAGTATAACAAAGAGTACAATCAACATCTGTACGAATATATTTGAGGCTGAAAATACGGGCTCTCAAATACACACCGGCCAACATTACCTTGCTACGCTGCCACGATGCTACATCAATACCGCTACGGGCCTACGTCGTAGCTCGTAGTGCCGTAGCCCGTAGATAGCTACGCTGGCGTACTGCTATTAAAAATGATGCATTGTATTGTCGGCAACCAAATGGATGAAGGTTTTAAGGTTCCGCACCTTTTGTTTTATTTGTTTGAAGGCTTTCCGTTCTTTGTTTGTGAGGTAGAAGTTTGATATTTAGTGAAGCCGAAGTATCAGTTTAGGGAATTTCACGGTAACGCAAAGTTTCGTGTTGTACCATTTAGAGTTCTTTAGTTTTAGGTCAGTTTTTTGTGTTTGCGGACTTTGATGGTGAACCTTTACTGTAGTAAAACAGTGTACACGCAAACTTTCAGGTCGATACAAAATCAGGTTACTACTGCTACATTGTTGAACAGATCTATACTCGGAATTTTAATTCCATTCCAGATTTGACAATTTCAGTGTTGCAACGTTATGACACGTAATAAATAGTGGCGTTGCGAAATTATTCGATGTGGAAATCGAATATTTCTGAATCGATTCCTCTCGTTTATAAAACTCTCGTAAACTAAGTTTATCAGGAAATAAAATATTTCTGAACCGATAATTTAGTTTTGACCATTAATTAACGATCTGAGACTTTTCTTTTGTAATTGTGTGTCAAATTAATAAAAAATGTGATCATGAAGGAACATGACAAATAAAACAGAAATTTTATAAATGGTCGCCGTCATGGCTATCGCTATCGCTGTTACTTTCTGTAACATTTATTATGAATTGTGTCTGTGATATTTATTGTCAATTAACATATCTAGCTTACCCATTTTTTCCTCTTCTTTGACAACATGGGATACGCATTTAGAACATTCGGTAGCCGTAATTTTTTGAATGCCTTCCTGAAACTGATTCACTGATTTTTGTGTTCATCACTACACTGTTATATGTAGTATCATTATTTCACAAAATGACAATAGGTCATGTCAAATCAGGAATCGAATTAAAATTCTGACTATAGTTGTAAATCATTATTGTTTTCCTTTTATATTTTCAAGAAGAGAATTCTAAAATCATTTGTAATGGCATAAAATTCCTAAAAAATATGCAAGCGCTGAACAGCGGTCCTGGAGATGTGAAGATACATGACAAAGACTTAAGTCGTTTACTTAATCCGACGTCGTACTAACGTGTTCCGACGGCCCGAGTTGTAAACTTCATTAAATTTTCTAATTAAATATCATTTGAAGAACCTAAATCGAGTTTAAAATTTAACGTAAATGAAACTGTTTGGAGTGTGTATGAAGATATTTTCACTTTATCTGGGTGGAAATGCAATTTAACCTATACTCATAATAACTAATATACCATACATTGGTAATAGCGTGATGTCACACAACATCTATTAGTATTCCTTGATGTATGGACTTTTCACCACGAATTTTTTCTCACTGATTCTCACAAATATAATGCCAATATATCCTTATGACGCGGCCATAAAAATAAAAGCAGATTGTACCAACCTATGATCTGCAATAAAGATATTGAATTGAATTGAAAGCCTGTTTTTAGTTTGTAGTTAAACCTTAGTTTAACCTAGCGTCTATTTTGTTTATAGTCGTTTTACTACAAAACCGTCAAGTGCGATGCAAGCCGAAGCAAGCCCAATTAAAAAGCTCGATGCAGTAAAGCTACGCCATTTCTCTTACCCTGTCTTTTCCAATGATTTGTTATCAAAC